TGCTAACAGTTAAATGCACCAATATTTCGACGAAAGGGATGGTTTCAATATAAATCCATGTGTTAAAGACTCGTTATCATCAGTCTTCGTCTTGAATATGAAACGAAAACATCTTTTCACAATATCAAAGACATTCAGTTTGATTTCATCCGAGATGTTAAAGCTCTTACTCCACATACCAGTTAAGCTATTGGTTTTAAAGTTAAACAAAATTTCTCTGCTACATATAATGTAAGTGTATGAGCGACTGTAAGTTTGAAATGATTAACGAAGCTCTGCACTGCTGCACTGCAATGTATATCACATTTTACATCAAACGGCAATCCTTAATTAGGTAAAGCTTTTGTTTAATTAGATATACAGTTTATTTGGTACATATAATAAAATATCATAATAAACATGTTATGATGTGTATTTTTGAAGGGAAGTAGAAAACAGACGTGGTTTACTTAATGACATGTGTTTAACATTTTTCAAAGGATGCTTTAGTAATAATTGCATTTGTACTGACGTGATGCAACTAATCAAAAGCACAGGAACGAACAGGAGGAAGGTTTTATAGGAATGTGATGAACATTTGAACATCAGAAAGGTGTGAACAGCGAAATGAATATCACTAGTTCCGTTCGCATGGAGGAAGAACAAGCACATGGTCCGATGTGCATTTTCATTTACACTATCTGTTGTTTTTGAGGCAGATATCATCTGTGATACTTTAATAATGATGATGATGTATGTATCATAATTGCGGACTTTTGCCTCTCTCTCTCTCTCTCTCTCTCTCTCTCTCTCTCTCTCTCTNCACATGCTTGTAATTTGCTGGGAAAGGGCTTAATATAAGTTTAATTACTAAACTTAACTAAATCAGAAGCACTTCGTACGGCACAAAACATCAGTGAAAGGTTTGTTATATACACAGTAAGGATGAAAACCAAGCGGAACTATGTTGTGTGTGATAATAAACCATATCGTGCTACAAATAACTCCATTATATCAACGAGAGAGTTTTATAGATGAGAATTTCAAGATATTTTGCTCTATGAATCATGTTAATAGCGTTTCAGCGTCTAGAATATAAACATAATTTATGTCGGCTAGACACTTTGAATCAAAGATATATCACGTAAGTTCAAAAGTGAATAAAACAAAAACTGTCACTCTTTTTAAGCATAGGCATTCCACTTCACTTACTTTTCTCTTGATATTGAACATTTCTAATTAATATTCTCATGAAGTATTCTCGTTAAAAGGTTATTGATTGATATATTGATTTCTCCTCGCGTTATATTACGACACCGATTTCAGATTTGAACGAAGGCACGTGTTAATCTTTCTATATGTTGAATAGAACCAAGTAAAATGTAAGTGCAACGTTGCCCGCAGGCAGAACAGGGGAGCCATTCATAGTTCTGGTGTTAACACGAAAACTGACCGAGGGTGACTTGTTGTAAACCCTTAATGTGATTATCACACGCATTTTAGCATGAACTGAATATATGAATGAAGTTTTGTATCTATATATTTAACCACTGCATGCTTTAATAGGCAAATGCCAATTTTGCTTTCAATTATTTTCATTCAAACTATATAGCGATATACCTATACTTAAACGTCTACATTTTAATAAATATTTGAAAATTTTATAAAACTATGCATATGTAGTTTTTCAATATCAGGATGATAATGAAATATTTGTACTTGCGAGCATTGTCAAGTAGTACTTGAATAGTTGAATAATCAAATTACTATATACTACTTGATAAAAGCTGTCGCAAACTCGTTTAGACACAATAACAGCACACCTTGAAGTGTAGCACATCAATGGAAAATGATTGAATGACATGGTAACGTGAAATACACGGCAAATTACACACCTAATTGCCGCTAACGTTATTTGTATTACATTAATCTTCTTATCGGAAAATACAAATATACTAATCAGCTCTTTGCCTCAACTTTTCATATATGCAACAATATTTTGCACTTGTTGTGATCACCTGTCAAAATATATAACTCTGTGTTGATCAAATCAAATAATGAATAAATAAAATCACGTTCCTTATCTTAAAAAAGGTAAGCACGCACTACAACGTAGAAAAATAATTTCATGACTGAATAACCAATTCTAAACGCCAGTCCTCAGAGTTTGTTAATGGTTAAAGATGTTTTTCCCATTATCTACATATACTATATTACAAGCAGTTGATAGTTCCCATATTCAAAAGTATAAAATGTGATATCTAAAAATGATTAATGAAAATTTGTATCGCATTAGATTTTATCATAATTCAGATGGGATTGCACTTTTGAATAAAACAGTTTTAATGTTGAACAAAGGACGGTTTCCTTTATTGAATAATCGAACAATTAACTGAAAGATAGATAATGAGACTTCAGAGTGTAATAAACGATAAGTGTACGTAAACTAAGGATGACCCTTTGCCAAGTGTCATTTACTCAATCAGATATATAGATAACATTTTACACCCGGATGTATTAATGTAATATCACTTAAAATTCAATCTAAACAGATATATTATGTGACCCGTAATTATAACAATTAAATGAAATGTATGAGGCAAGTAAAAATGTTCAATCCGGTAAAATAAATTCAATACTAATTAGAGTTTCTCATTAAACAAAATAGTTTTATTCATTAAATAGAACAGTACTTGAAGACGCCAGTGTTTTCAAACACATGTATATTGTCGCAAAACTCATCAATATCATCGACAATAGTAGTTTGATGCTGATGAGATAACATTCTTCTATTTTCTTAAATATTGAACTCGTGAAAATAGGCGAAATACAAATAAAGTATGTAAACAGTGGGTTTCGTGCCAAGAACACATTGCAAAACGAATTATTTTCCATTCAAATCCGTTATTCGTCGTAAATAATAAAACTCCAGCTCAATTATTTAAAAAGGTGTATATAGTTTGTATGTATGTTAGATACAATCTTATTCGCTATACTTTGCTTATTTTGAAATCTTATAATGTGATTTTAAAGACAGAAGTCAATTAAGTGTCATAGATTCAAATCTTAATTGCTGATTTATGTCAGGAGATTAAATACAGATCCGAGTAAGCTTTTTATCAGCGAGTAAAACTCGTTTATACGGGAGTTTAATTGAAGGGGTTTAACCGATAGCGCTCCTTTAAAACTAATTGATAAGTGTTTTTCAAGTTAACGAATATGAATTTCAACTTGAAAATAGCGTGATGGGTTATCACAGTATTTTGGCAGCCGAGATGTATGATAAAGAAATGTCCGCTCGAGTAAACAGCCAATCTTATAAATGACTGACAGAGAACTAGTACACAGCCTCTAGTGTTAATCACTTATCTTATTACACTAATTGTTTCAAATAGCTAGATATTTGAAATTTAATGCTTCAGTAACGAATCCTTTCTAACTATTTGGAAGTAAACACGGTCTGTTTTGTGTTAGGACGGTTGATAACCTTCTAGATGATAAGGTCGAGTGGGTAGCTCTGTAACTATAACACGGGATTGCTCTCAAACCATCACGCTAGTTATCGGTATTTGAGGTTATTTAGATAAGTACCAGAATATGTATGTATCATTGTGAAAGATTCTTAGTATGTCGGTTTTACATCGTTTCATAATTGAATTCATAACACACTTTAAAGACACTGCTCCGTGATAATATTTACTTTTTTGAACTTTTTGTTTCGTCTAACGTGCACAAAACATTTTTTTCCCGCTTAAACCTAAGAAATACAAAATCAATCAATAACTGCATAAAATATTGTTGGTTATGTGTAGAATAATCAAACATGTTTAGAATAATCAAATATGCTATATTTTACAATTATAGCATGTTCATGAGGTCGGTACATGGCTAATACGTCCCTGGTTATATCAACCAGAGAAAACAATATAAACCGAGTACGAAGTCTGAGACGTTAGTGAATTACAATGAAACTTAACCGTTTCACCACTGTAGACCATAATGGACTCATCAATATCAATGCATGGCAGAGTCTACTGAAGTTACATAGGGGTGAAAGGGTTAATAATTGTTGTTGTTTACTGTGATTCAGTACTACCTCTCGTCGTCATTGACAGGTAGACACCAAATTCAAGTTAATTAAATAAATAAATCCATTGTACTTTATTATTTAACTTTTTATGTATAGCTGTCCACTCTGTCTAAGAAATAGGATATTCATCCGAGTTAGAACTTTTATCTTCCTTGATTAAATAAAAGAATACTTAGTTGTATCGGTCAGCGATCTTAAAACCTACTTATATATATATATATATATACAATGGTTGTTCTATTTTTTATATTTAATTCCAACACAAGGACTTCTCAATGTTTTCTATATACAATGGTATATAATAAAACGCGTATATTGTTATATGCTACAATGCTGCTTATTTTTAATTATCAATTATGTATCTACAATTAATATTAAACATAACACAAACATAGACATGTGATTGCATCTTTAGATACACAGTTTCGTCCTACCTGGACACAACGATGATGGTAGAGGCCGAAAAGTAAAAAATCCAATTTGTCTAAACTACTGCCGAAACTGATAGTAAGCTGCGTAAAACACCTTTTAATTTATGAATATATAAAGTTAAAAGAGAACTGGTTGATTTGAAATAAAGTAATTAGCAAACCGTGTATATTAGGAACCATGTTCACAACTCAAACGATATTTCTGCGTCTAACTGATATTTTTTTGATGTAAATGAGATCTAAATCACATCTTCTATAACGTATTACATTACATATAATTCTGTTTTGATAATGGTATTGTCTTGTGTTCTTTTGTCCGTAGTTGTGTCCATAATTGAAAGTAAGAACTAGGCTGGTAAAAGACAGCCTGAAATACGATATATCCATAAATTCATCTGTATTCTCTTATCAAGATACCGATCTTAAGACCATCCCAGAAATAGTCTCATTCTCATACTGTACCTACTGTACGAACTCGCACACGCTATGATTATACTTACCTAGGATGTAAGCCAGCGTTAGATATGTCAATCGAAGAATCATCGTGCTACTATGAAACATCTTTTCTTGCACGTTTAAATGCAGTGAAGTAGTAGGAATGTGTAAATATGAGAAGCTGACGTCTCAAATTTCACAGAACTATGTTCAATTTACGTGCTTCTCAATGAACTCTCCATTATACGTTTTCACTCAATTATCAGATTTCAAGTCTGTAATGATGCCGACGAACTTTCAATTGTCCATCGTGTACACTCGTTAACTCTGACCATTGTCCACGGTCAGCCCATCGGTCCTTGCCATGGAGGCTTTATTGTCCAAGCGGTCAAAGTTTTAACCTTCGAAGTGGAGAAGACACACCGTATTATTTATGTATCGAGACGTGCGAAAAATAACTGCGTTGACAATGGAAATCCTTTCAGCTCTCTAAGGAGCACTTAACATAATTTAACGAAGATCCCCTAGTTTAGATATAGCTTGACAAGTAAAATACAAAGATAGATAACATTTTACTTCGCACGTAACACGAACATCGGTAATCTTAATCCGCGTGCTCCACACACACATCAACAGGTTGTTAAAACTCCTCTATCTATCGTTTAAGGAATGTAGCTCCGGTACATCTGCTCTCTCTCGTAAGACGAAACACTTCTGAACAATTAGCAGGTCCATGGGTGGTCAGTTGTCTGGTCACTTCACGTTTACGACTGGCCGGAGAGGTTTATATACTCCCCACTGACTGGTCGAGTAGGGCACTACGGTGAAGTAGGAGGTATGATTGGCAAAACGTACTACACACTCTGAGCAGGACCAATTACATCGCCGTGTGTTATTGGCACGAACTCATTAGACGCAATGGTATTGGTGCTCAGCAGATCGTCGGAGTTTGTACGTTAGTCCCACTGTTTACATCAACACCTACATGTATGTAACCGCTTTAGTTGAACACGGGTAAGACCCAATTACACGTATTACGTGGCTTCGGTGGTCCACTCTTTCAAACTGTGAAGTAAATGTTACGTATAGCCTGTTATCGACAGGTGCGTGGATATGATGTGTGTATTAGTATAGGTTTGCTGGGAGTTGTACGAGCACGTATCCTTCATTGAGAAAGGCTTGCAAAAAGAACACGATTTTATTTTTTAAATCACGTTTTCATAAAACACTGTACCCGAACTGTAATTGTTTTGTTAAAACCGCGGGTTATAAAAACAATTTATTATTTTTTACTTTTTATGTGTTTCAGATGTTGACAAGACTTTTAAAATATTTCTATGTGTATAGACATACTACACGTATGTTTTGACATTTATATCAATTATACTCGTCTCCTTTCATTCACCGTGCTGCATAAAGTCCGGACATTATGTATCAGAAACAACACAGACACATGTACAGAAATATAAATTTGTTGAAGGAAGACATGCACGATCCTAATGAGCTTCGTTTATACACGAGATGCACTATACTTGTCAAGATTATTTTTATTCTAGAGAGATTTTTTGAAAACAATAATAGAAATTGGCAGGAGTTTCTGGAACCAGCTCAAGATCTTTCTCATATATTTACATCTGCAATGCACTATATGATCCCTAAAACTGAAAACAGCCTTCACAGTACTCTGCAAAAATAAATCTAACCCGAGCTTCAATTCTTATTCAAGAAATTGTAACCAAACTTCGACACCGGTTTTCAGATTGATTTCCTTTTGATCATGTCACATTAGTACATGATGTTTACCTAAATTTATTTTTTTGTTTATTTTAAATATTTTTTGTTTGTTTATAACCTTTTGTTTCCCTTAGTTTTACTTTTTGCAAAACGCGCAGAGTTGAAGTAAAATCTAATAGTGTAAAATATGAACTTTTGAAATCTTATATGCATTTTAAGAACCTGGTTTAAAATTAGTTGTTATTATCTATCACTTTATTTCATTAGGAAATATGTTTATGGCTCCACAAAGACAATAGCTGGTCCATTTCCTCTGTGTATACCTTATACTTTACTTGCATTAATTCTTGAGTTTATTATTGTCCTATAAGCGTTGAGATTATTTACAAATCTTTCATCTACAGTGTCAAAACATACTGAAACACAAATTGGTGACCTAAACGTAAAAATTATATCGCTCTTGAATAAATACTTTTTTGTCTTATTTTTTTCTTCCAGATAATGCATAAATAGACCAGTTTTCATGCAGAATTTCCCTCCTGCATTTAACTACTAACTTATCTCCCCCTAGTTTGAGAACTTAGGATCAGACATCCAAGAGATCAAAATTATTAGAGTTTTTATTGTTTAATAAATAATTCAATGTCAGACAAGGGCTAAGCTCTTACTTACGAACGTAACATTTCAAAACATGCACCTGATATCGGCAGTGTATTTTTATAATCCTAGATCCTGAGAAATTTTCGAAAGAACAATTTGCTACAGACAGAAATTAGGAAACGCACTCTCAGATGCCAGATTTGCCACAATTTATTGAGTTTCTTATTCGTATCAAAGACGTCCACTCAAGGTTTTGCAGTCTATGTCTTCCCGAATTCTCGCGCTGGGCACGTGAAGCAGATATATCTGTAATATCAGCACTCTCCTTGTCTGCAAATGCGCACGATTTCCCAGTTCGTTGTTTCATTTAACTCCTCGCTCTGACATGATTTGTTATCTTTGCAGAAATACTAAGTTACAATTAGAGGGTGGTGAGGTACTAGCCTGCTCAAGGCCTTTTTATACGTTGATAATATGTTGAATCGGCACTAATTATAATAGCCCTGAATCGCCGTGCAGAGTTGTTTTATGTTACATAGTATAAATGTTCATCATCGAGGACATATGGTCATTTTCTTACATTTTAAATCACCAGAATATATTTGCTATTCCTCCGAATTCCATCATATATGCATTACATGTAGAAAATGTTTACGCTCATAAATCTATGCTGGACTGAGGAAAAAGTAACTAAACTAAAGAATGCATTCGTGATGAACTCCTTTTTCAGCTATCGTTAACCCGGGTTTCCCTCTATCTAGTCAGGTTTTTGATCAAAACTATATTTTTTGTCAAATTCAAAATCGTTGAAGTAGCATATCACAATTTAGCAGCTCAGCTAGCTAGGATGATACTGGAATGAATAGCTGTAACTAGGTGGACAAAAATAACTTTTTATCCCATTTAATTCACTGATGTTTTCCCACAACAAATGTAATAATCTCATTTTTATTTTATTTTCCAATAATAAATGTAACTTTCTCATTTAACTGACTGTTTTTTTTCCATTAACTCATGCACCCCTAAAGACACATTTAAATATCTTCCAATTCAAAAGTTGGAATAGTTCATTATGAATTTCCAGGGGTGAATGAGTTAATAATTGTAGCTATCCTCTTTAATTGACTGACGTTTTCTAATAATACATGTAGCTATCCCATACAATCCACCCTTTTATATGACTGAAGGACCTACGTCATCTTACTACATGTACAATTGTTAGCTTACAATGTTGAATTACTACACTATTTCAGACTATTTTAGACTATTTCATTACACCGAACATCTCACAAACTCAGTTTTCTTTACTTAATCACTGAAACATCAATCCCCGTTCCGCTCAAGGTAAAAACCATAAGTTAAATATGAATAATGTTTGCTTGAAACTGGAATTTGCGATCAATGATTAACATGAATTACACGAAAATATAAATATCAAACCAAATATACATAATCTGAAATAAACATCGTCCTGTCAGAAATTGATCACTTTTTCTTTCGACATCAATGACAGTTACCTTAACGCATGTTAACGTCGGACGCTTGGGTGTTTGAAGTTCTGAACAAGATCTTTAATTCGTTTATTGACACATCTGTTTCAACATTAGTCTCCAATTCAAAAGTGTGAAATGTTATCAAATACTCTCCAAACCCTCACCGTTTAATTGTCAAATACTCTCCAAACCCTTACCGTTTAATTGGCCTTTTTACAAGTGTTAAGTATTTGTAACTTACGTGACTAGCCTATACCCCATACGACCTTTTGCTCTGAAGAGTATTTGTTTAGCAGGGCTTGTCAAATACTGCTTTGTAGTTTGAGTAAATGTAGTCTTCCCTATAAAGAAGCGTTGTTTTTCCATGATAATGGCGACAAATATAGAAGGAAGGTATATCAGCATGAAAGACTTTCAAATCTTAATTAAGGAAAATGCAAGGTAATAGTAAACAATATAAGAGGGAATACGTGTTTATTAAGTGTCTCTAGGGATAAACGAAAACAAACCTAGTCAACATGTTAAAAGTCTTCTCGAAAATATAAATGATCATATAGTGAGATAAGTGTGTGTTTCAGGTGATATGGCTGACAAAAAAGGTTGGTCGGACAGGTGATTTTTTTTCTTCTTTTCTTCTTTTTATTTTAGAGGTAAGGATGGGAGAGGAGGGCTTGTTTCAAAAGTTAATCACCTAACACTGAAACATACATATTGTTTTAGTCCAAACATCGGAACGCCTCTCCTCAATAGATGTGTTACTTTGAGTGGAGCTGTATATAGCCAAAAATGCACAATGTATCTTATCTTAAAGTTGTACTGGCGTCATATTATACATAACAAATAACATTTATGTATCATTTGATTCTCGATAGGCTGTTACTTATACCTGGGTTTCGAAAAGTACTGCAAAAATGGACATTCCCGCGTGTGAAATTTTCATCATTTTACCATTATTCGCATTGGCAAGAATTCTGATATCTATATATTTTATATATCTATTATCTTTACAAGGTAGAAATATATATTCGCGTATGGAAATTTATTGGACTTATTTCCTCAAAACGAAAAAAATGCGATTATGTCCACCCTGCGATAATTTCCATTTTTTATACAATTTTCTTTTTCGCGTCTCACCTTGACGTTAAAGTAGTTCTTGAAGTATATCGAAAACGCTTTATTCAAATATTTTCTTACAACAAAAATGGTGGTGACAATGATATGACACATATAGATGCATTCCTATGATAACGGACTTCAGCTTTTATAAATTCACTTCAAATTACGTTTCAAGTTGAGTCGGTTTGATAGACGTTTATCTGGTATATAGATCGCCATCATGAATATATTGATTTTATATCACCGCCGTAAACACTGGGTTCATATCTCGACCGTTTATGTTATACTCGTAAAAGCATCATTAATATTCAATATTTATGGCCTTCATTATGGGCTATGGTGTATATTTCCTATGTAATACCAGGTACAGTGCCCTTGATTCACAAGACAATATTGATCAAGTTGCGCCATCTCAGATCTTGCAGAATGTATTAAATACGAAAGTAATGTGCTTAGTTCGTCTCGTCTGAACATAGTCAACTTGCAGATTTTCCATTGAAACGTCGTAAATCTGTTGATGTTTATATAAGAAAGACTCGTAAATTTTCCTCTTTATTCTCTCGCTTGACAAATTAGGAATGCGTATATTGCCTTTTGATAGCTCAATACTTGTTAGATCCACGCAGAAAATCTCGTAAATCCAACGTATATGTGCTTCCTGCCAACACATTTCCTGCATATCATGATCGCCGACTTTACATTTCTTCTTGTTCAAATATGTCAGCAAATTGGCTGATAAAACAAGTTTACCGGTAAAAAGAAAGTTAAAACAAATTAGGTTTTTCAATGGACTTTTATCTGGAGGGTGGGCAAACCAATTTATCTAAGTTCAAACGTAATCACATATTTTCAAATTGTTTCAATAGATGCCATATATTATACTCGGCCATTGGACGCTAATGTTTGCCAGCTCAGGTAACTTATATTGACAAGTGGAGATTATTTAGAAACGTCAACGTGACAAGGAATGAAAATAGTAAATTTGTTCGTCTCGCTTGTTTTCGGGTTCATAGTCTGGCAAAAATAAAAACAATTTGTTGATATGGAGTATATGGACATATACACAGGGACATGGCACACCGATATATATTTCTATTGCTACGGTTGTAAGGTTTACACGAACATATTTGTCCCCGTAAGGAACACCTGTCTGTGTGTAATGAAACTTGTAACACGGAAATGAGTACATGAAATAATTGACCCCGTTGCT